AATTTCCTTTTTCGTCTTAAAATTTCTATCTCTGTCTGCTAAATCAGCTAGATCTTGTTCGAAAGGTCTGAGTTTGTCCTTTGTTTCTTTAGAGTATGTGAAATTTTCTATACGATGACACAAGCATCGAATTTTCTCAGCTGATGTAGAATTAAGAAGAGCTTGCTGTTGAGTTGGATGAGAAGTACATAAGAGTTCTACAAATGGTCTGTGTTTCATATAACTGCTAGTCATCTCTGTTCGGCGGTCAGCAACGGAATGAAGATTTAGTTGGAAATAACACATATATAAGGATCGGCTCGCCCTCTATATATTAGGTCTAGACAATAGTCTTCATAGTCTTTACTATAGTCTTTCATAGTCTTTACTATAGTCTTTCATAGTCTTTACTATAGTCTTTCATAGTCAGGACTATAGTCTTTCACAGTCTTTACTATAGTCTTTCATAGTCTTTACTATAGTCTTTCGTAGTCAGGACTATAGTCTTTCATAGTCAGGACTATAGTCTTTCATAGTCAGGACTATAGTCTTTCATAGTCAGGACTATAGTCTTTCATAGTCAGGACTATAGTCTTTCATAGTCAGGACTATAGTCTTTCATAGTCAGGACTATAGTTTTTCATAGTCAGGACTATAGTCTTTCATAGTCAGGACTATAGTCTTTCATAGTCAGGACTATAGTCTTTCATAGTCAGGACTATAGTCTTTCATAGTCTTTACTATAGTCTTCGTAGTCATGACTATAGTCTTTCATAGTCAGGACTATAGTCTTTCATAGTCAGGACTATAGTCTTTCATAGTCTTTACTATAGTCTTTCATAGTCTTTACTATAGTCTTTCATAGTTAGGACTATAGTCTTTCATAGTTAGGACTATAGTCTTTCATAGTTAGGACTATAGTCTTTCATAGTTAGGACTATAGTCTTTCATAGTTAGGACTATAGTCTTTCATAGTTAGGACTATAGTCTTTCATAGTCGGGACTATAGTCTTTCATAGTTAGGACTATAGTCTTTTATAGTCAGGACTATAGTCTTTCATAGTTAGGACTATAGTCTTTCATAGTTAGTACTATAGTCTTTCATAGTTAGGACTATAGTCTTTCATAGTTAGACTATAGTCTTTCATAGTCAGGACTATAGTCTTTCATAGTTAGGACTATAGTCTTTCATAGTTAGGACTATAGTCTTTCATAGTCAGGACTATAGTCTTTCATAGTCAAGACTATAGTCTTTCATAGTTAGGACTATGGTCTTTCATAGTCAGGACTATAGTCTTTCATAGTCTTTACAATAGTCTTCATAGACGCGACAATAACCAACGGGATAAATACACCTCTTCACTCTTGCTTTAAATCATTTTACACTGACTTTTTTGAGAAGTAAACATGTCTTATGAATGCGACATCTGCGGTAAAACGTTTGCAAATGCGAGTAATCTCCTTCGCCACAAGAAGGTTGTCCATGCATATGGATCTCGTAATCTTGGGCAGCAAACTCTCACGGTGAATGGGGTCACAGTCATGCAGCATCCCTTTACATGCATCGTTGCAGGATGTACCCAAAGCGGCAAAACCGTATGGGTGAAATCTCTCTTGGAGAATGCTCAAACGACTATAAGTCCTACTCCTCAACGTATCATTTGGTGTTATGGTCAATGGCAACCGTCCTATTTTGATATGATGAGGATAATGCCTGGAATCGAGTTTAATGAAGGCATCCCCGACGATATCGACAATGCGGATTACTTGGACGTATCGCAACGGAATTTGATCGTATTGGATGATCTTATGGCTCAATCTGGCAAAGATAAACGTATTTCCGATCTTTTTACGAAAGGAAGTCATCATCGAAATTTATCTATCATCTATATTGTTCAAAATATATTTCATCAAGGCAAAGAAATGAGAAATACTAGCCTAAACGCGCATTATATCGTATTGTTCAAGTCACCAAGAGATAAACAACAAATTTCTATACTTGCAAGGCAAATAAATCCCGGCAAAGTACAAGAGTTTATGAGGAGTTATGAAGATGCTACGAGCCGGCCTCACGGATATTTGATGTTGGATTTAAAGCCGACAACGAGTGACGGAGATCGACTGAAGACAAATGTACTTCCCGGCGAGATTGCAAAGTTTTTACACAAACAGTCGTATCGTCAACCACCACTTGGAAACGCAATGTATGATGCCGAACAGAGAATGAAAGAAATCATGGATGCACCACAGCTTAGCGCAGTGGAAAAAAGCAAATTATACTCTGATCAACTAAATCGGTTTTTGACATTCAAAAATAAGATGGATGTTCCGACTCAAGTTCCTATTCAGACAACTCCATTCGTGCCTGCAGAGATGCCACAACCCAATGAATCTGTCGAGATAGCACCACCAGTGCCTGCTACACCTAAACCTAATTTCCTTACACCACCACCAACAGAAGAGGAGCGGCCAAAACTCAAGCACAACTTTTTCCATAATTGGGTAGACTCTACAGATTGGAGGCCCCAAGATTTGGCAATGATGACCCCTGAACAAAGAGAAGGTTACGAACAAAGATTACTTCGCGAGAGGCCGAAATATATTCCAATGAAGAATGAAGATGTTGCAAGGTTATCCCCAGAAGATAGACAAGAATATGAGAACTCTTTAAAAATAACAAAAACACCTAGACGTTACGCTCTTAGAAGTAGACCGTACTAAATTTTGTAAAACGTTTTGAAGAAATAAATTTAAAAACTGAAATATTGTGTAAATTTTTGCCGGCAAAGCCCGCTCTTTCCGCCCGCGCGATCTGCCCGCCTGATTAGTGTATAAATATGTTGAACGTTAATATATGCATGCACGCAAGCGTCGCTAATGACTTAGCAACAAATAACAACGTATATAACGATTACATGTTTTTATTGCAAAATATATTACAACTGTTCCAATTCTAACTTATGTTCTTGATAAGCTTACTTATGATCTGACTCGGTCATCTTAACAGTATATATGTATGTAGAATATTTGCTAAAATAACGTTGAACAACATGTAAATATTGACCTTAACAACGACGTTGACAACTCGGGATTAGAAACTGTTTAGTTTAAAATATGTCTAAAATATATTTAAAATATGATTTTTGTGACGAATAGATTCCTTATTTGCCCTCGTTCGTTTTCGTTCATCATGAGGCAATCATGTTGTCTTTGACTAGGATGACCGACTTGACAACCATTACAGGATTCCACACAAAGTCTTTCAACTTTTGGCTGCAAAGCGTTCCTGTCTTGTCTAAATCGCTTTCTCTCTTCCCGCACGGATAACCCGCGACGCCCGCGCAATGAATATCCTAATCTACACGTATTTATCCACACAGTAGAAAAATGCAAATCTCTGATAAAAGTTAATCCTTTAATTAGTTTCACCCTAACAACACATAGCAACCGGTGTTCTTTAATATAGCTTAAATTTATTAACCTTATCCGAGTTTTAGTACTTTAAAAAACTACCACTAAAATATAGAAATCCCTTGACAATTATATATCATAACCTCTAATTTCCATGTGTTTATATAACTCTAAACAGCAACATATTCTCTCGTATATAGACCTCATATGGCAGACCGGGATTTAAATATTAGTTTAATTGTAGATACATAACTCTTTACCGCATGCTATTTCTCAGCGTTTTGACGCTTGATAATATTTATATATTACTTAACAACAAAACATATAGCTGTATACCCCGAACATATAAGTTTTAGATATATAACACTAATGCTATTTCATATAATATCAGATTTTTTACTCATCTAGGAGCTAAATTAAAGGAATCACTTGACAATAACAGCAAAATGCTAGAGCTGTACTTATAAAACTCCAGACAACAACATATTCTCTTGTGTATAGCCCTAACTATTGTATCATACACGTGGAGGGACGCTAAAAAATGCGTAGTCAGCAAATTTTGTCCAATTTCGCCCGGACAGGCCCGCGTGACGTCACTACGCACCCTCACTTGTGCGGCCCCCTTAATTACCTGCATACGCCGCCCCCTTGCATAGTAATTACCTGCATATATAATGATGCGGCCCCCTTGCGGCCCCCTAAAAATAAGGCCCGAAAACCACATACTATACTACTTAATTTATTCAATATAACACGGCCGAGGGTGTTGTAAGCAACTTATGAAATGAATATATAAGATGTTTGATGAGATGTTTTGAATAAAATAGACATTGTCATTTGCAGCTAGCTAGAATAGACTGATTTTTTTTACGAACAGAGGGCGTATAGGTCGCATTTAGCCACTGTGATGGGAGGTGGTAGCTTGTTCAGAAAACCTTTGTCTGCAGAGGAAGAGCGTCTTTTGGTGGTTGCCAGCACTATTCCAAAGAATACAGGATATAATATAAAATGGGCCGTCAGGTTTTCGAAGACTAGCAAAGTTACCGAGAGGATAAGAATGCTAGGAATGTGCCTTCAAGTTCTGTGATCTTAGATATATGATCTGAACTCGAAGACTTGACCGCAAAAACATTAAATCTGTGGCTGAGTCGGTTTGTGGAAGAAGTTTAATTCATAAGTTTAATAATTTTAATGAATGTATGTTATAATTTGAGCGATAAAAGTGGGTTGGATTCACTGTGTAAAAGGTGAGTAAGCCGTATTTCAATATGGTTGACATGACAGATTTTAGTGTGCATTCCGATACAAACACCGTGAAAAATATGGATTCTTCACCGAATACATCGAGTTATACAATAGCACCCAGTGTTTATTAACTGCGTGTTTAATTCTTGCGATAACATTTGGACGAGGAAATAAATTGCACTTGTTAAATAATTTTGGTATTGGAGTAAAAAAATGTGATTTTGTTGTTGTGACGCATTTCTTACTGTAGTATAATCAAAGATATATTATATACCCTAGATAGTGCATCTAATTATTCTGCAATTCAAAAATTGAAGCCATGATTGCAGACTCATGAAATGAGAAGATTCGTATGTTTTCTATTTTTAAACAGGTAACTTAAACATTAAGTTAAATCTATTCCAAATACATTTATAAACTATTCAAATGATGAAGGTTATTGTTGTTTTTTAAGCGTTTATTAGCGAGTGGGAACTCCCAACATGGCCGCCATCTATTCAAATGGGAGTAACCGCTGGAATATTCTTGGCTTCAATTTTACTAAAAGAGATGCGCTATCTAGCGTAAATAAGATATCTATGAGTATAATGGACCGATGAGATTTTAATAAACATACAAATCAGCTACAAACACTTGTGGTTGTAACAGAAAAGATCCAACCACGAGTGTTTGTAACTGATTTGGGTATATATTAAAATCTCATTTGTATAGGGTATACAGAGGTGTGCATTGTGACGTAATCCGTGAAATTTCATTGACTATAAACCTCTTTAATTATTCATGAATTTCACAATGTCTACTACAGGGTAATCTTATAAACGCGTTGGAGATGCGATGTAATTTTTAACCGACAAGTACCCGCGTGGTATAGAAATTGACAAAACGGCACATGACATGGCAGAAAACTGCTTCGGACTTGACAAAGGAGTAGCCTACAAAATTCACCATCTGTATATGCTAGTCACAAGTGTCACATTAAATTAAATGTTATTTTGAAACTGCATGCTAACTTTCTGGATTAGATATACTCATGTAGTGGTTTCAAAATACATCGTGACGTAATCGGTATAAAATTAATGCGAAGTATATGCCGACAGAAGTTCTTCATGATTTCAAGCACGAACTGCTCAACAGTGGCGTGCTGGGTACTATTTTTCTGGAGGGGCCAGTGGGCTGTCAACCAATATGCGCCCCTATAATGTTACACTTGATAAACGAGAGCCGAAGGCACGAGCCGAGTGCCGCAGGTGCGAGGTTTGTCTAGGGTGGTCGGGGGGCATGCCCCCAGGAAAATGTTTGAATTTAGAGTCTCTGAAATGCCATTTCCTGGACTTTGGGGGAAGATTTGACAGAAATCTGATGGTCAGGAAACGGCATTATAACGTGTCGAAATTTGCAATTTGGTTAGAATTTAGTAGTAGCACTTAAGTTAAATTATGCAATGCTAACTACTTCCAGCGATTAATCTAATCCCAATTCTGTTCTCTACTGATCTACTGTTCTGAGTACATTTACAACTTAAAGCTCTTTTATACAATAACACACGCACCCCACGCATATGCATTTTAAAGTTTCCTTGTCTGGGCATGTTTCAGCATTATTTCATTACTTACATTACTCATGCTTCTTGTGCAAACTTTACATCAGTTATCATAACTTCAACTATCTAATTTGCGCCGCTCTCGTGATTCGTGAAGCATAATAAGGGGCATAATATAAGGGCATAATACCAGCAAAAAAGGACATAATTCCCGTGATCGCTTCGATCGAAACCTGACCAATATTCCGGTAATGAGACATTGCCTGTGATCACTGATCATGTTTTAAAATGAACGATTTCGTGTGAGCTGTGAGGTAGCAAATACGGTTAGGCAAAATAGTCTGTAATTTAATATATGTCGCCTATGCACTTAGTCTGTTTTATACTGTAGCCTATAACCACGTCTTTTCTTGGCGGAAGTAACCATATTTTTTCGAGAATGCGTTTTTTCCCACCCACTTTCAAAATTCGGCGCCCCATTTTCATTTTTGCGCCCCCCAAGAATTGCCAGCTGGGGGGGCCGTGGCCCCCCCCCCCCCCCGCCAGCACGCCACTGCTGCTCAAACCATTTGTCTAGTTAATCACGCTATATTATGTACGCGTGAGGTCTGTGTAATGAAACACTTGCTTCCCTTAAGATCTTTATTTATTGACAAATCTCGAATTCGGAGTGAAATAAAAGCTCTGTAATGAAATATTTGCTTGATACATGCCAACGTGATTCTTGGATGCCCTCCAAGGACATTGGTCTGCAGGCAAACTTGAGTGTTTTAACCCAAGAAACACGAGGAAAATTATAAATTGGACACGCCTTGCCCACCATACAAATTTTCAATAGTAGGGCCTAAACAAAACTTACCTGTCCACTGGATATGCACAAGATTTGTGCTTGAAATATTCAATCGTTTTGGGATAAAGTCGTATTCTACCGCTGGATAAGCTTGCACGATGTTCCCTCGCTTTCCACGTACGTTCAGATTATGGATGACGTCATTATCTAATACACCTTTTGGCCTGGGCCTGAGCTTGAATAAGTGAGATCGATCCTGAAAAGTACGTCCAAATTGAGCTGTGTTGATTGCAAGTTGCAATGGCATTTGAACATCACCAACATCTACTTTTGGGTTGTTCTGTACTGGAGATTTTACACCGTTATTCCTTATAAACAAAAATAATATAATTATGATTTCTTTGAGAATAAAACTTGATAGAAATGTCGTTTGCGCGAAAGAATGAACAGTCGCAAATAAAAACATTTTCCATTCCCATGCATTCTCTCTTCAGTGTCTTAGCCAGTACAGTAAATCGTATTATTATTATACATTGTTTGGCGAAAGTCAATAATTATTTGATCCACTGCATATATGCAATGATATTTTTGTTAGTGTTCCCGTTGTCATGAATGGCGAAAATTCACGTTTTCTGGTGGGGGCTAAAGCGACTGAATATCTGTAAGAAAAGCTTCTAAAATTCGGACAAAGCTCATACCGTATAGCACCAAAATCAGCTGTTTGCCGTCTACATGTGTGCTAAGACTTGAGACAAATTGTTATTTTTACGTGAAGTTGTCACAACCTAGATTTCTGCCACTGGACGTTAGATCGTGTCTGTCTGTAAGTAACACCCAGGTTTGAGCTGACAAATTCAACCATATATTGTAAATACTTACGGATCATCATTTTTGTCACCGAATGTGCTAAACGGTGGATAGTCTCCAGTGGAAATGTTGTATCTGAACAAAGGAAAAGGGAATAAAAACTAATCAGTCTAAAATTTAGAATATTATAGCTATGTATTTTAAAGTGCGCCGTGAAGGAAAAATATTACATTTCAGGAACGTTCTTGGGTGACTAAACTTGTATACCACTCAACGGCTTTACCTCAAGCGTCAAAGTTAACAAACGAAAAAGAGAAGAAAAATCTATGGGAGTTAGGCTATTTGGCGATGCGGAACAAAATTTTGACTTCAGTTAAGCAAGCTAAAGCCGAATATTATAATCGGTTAATTAAGGAGAGAAAAAATGTCCTAGTAAACTATGGAGAATCATAAGACAAGTTTTTCCATCATCCAAGCACACTTCAAATTTCTCTGAATGTGACGATACGAAGGCCTGTGCCGAAAACTTCAATAAAATAATATTTCACCAGTATAGGCGAAATAATACAGTCGGAACTCGGATCAGTGGGTAACGAATTCAACTTCCCCTTTAATATCACATCTCGCTTTGAATTTAATCAAGTTGCACAATCCGAAGTGGTGCAGATTATCTCAAGTTTATCCAGTGATAAAGCTACTGGTATCTATACTATTGCCATTAGGACGTTGAAGATAGCGGTAGGCGTTCATTCTGCACTGGAAGGTATCACTTATTTAATTAACCTCTCGATAGAACAGTCTGTCATACCTGCAGAGTGGAAATCAGCTGTGGTAACTCCAATTTTTTAAAGTGGTGATAGAAATATTAAATCGAAATTTCGACCCATTTCGGTACTTCCTATTCTATCGAAGGTGTTGGAGAAATTGGTATGCAAACAGCTGATAACTTATCGAAATGAAAACTCGCTTCTTGCTATATAAATTTCAATCAAGTTATCTCAAGGGTTTTTCTACGATCACGGCCTTGACCTGTATAACGAATGATATGTTTAATTCAATGGAAAATAAAGAAATCACATTACTTATACTCTATTAGATCTTAGTAAACCCTTTGACAGTCTGGATCACAGAATGCTTGTGGACAAGCGCCATAAATATTGTATTACCGGCACATCTCTAAAGTGGTTTACAAACTATTTGGCTGACAGAACACAATGCATAAAGATTGGTTGCACAAGGTCAGATCCTTTTAAAGTAACCTGTGGTGTCCCTCAAGGATCTGTTTTAGGTCCTATTCTGTTCATACTCTAGATCAATGAATTGCCGGGAATTCTTGCTCAACACTCTATTAATTGCGGGTGGTAACCGTCAAATCTACATCTTTATGCCGATGACCAGCAATTGTATAAAAGCTCTCGGTCTGAGAGTTGAACGAGTCATTGAATCAGATGAGATCGGAGCTTATACATATAAATGATTGGCTGATTGCAAAAAAATTGAAACCAAATGTTGGTGAAGAATAAATTTCAAATCATTGGAACAAAAAACCAACTTTCGAAAATAAACGACATCGAACAGATTAAGTTGGATATTGGTGAAGAGTGTATCAGGCCGGAGGATACTGTAGTCAATCTGGGTCTGATGCTCGACCAGCATCTTTCATGGAGACACGTGAGTGCACGCACATGCAGAGAGACTTTTAAAGATCTTGTAAACTGTGTAGTTTTCTCTAAAGTGGAATATGGCAACATTGTCTATGGTAATGCTAACAAAGGTGTTCAGGATATTGTACAGAAAATTCAAAATGCAGCTGCAGAAACTGTAACTAAGTCAAGAACTTTTGACCATGTAACACCTTTACTAGACGAATTAAATTGGCTTCGTATGTCCGATCGTTGTTACTTGCAGCATTGTTCCCTACTTTATAAATGTTTAAATGCATGGAGATGGTCCAACATATCTTTCTGACAAATTAATACCTTTGATGAATAAGCACAATTAGTATAAATTTTGCATTTCAAATGAGCTTTCGCGCGTTCTGATTGGCTAGTTAACTAGTAAATCTGACGCATTATTTACCACCTGGGTAGTAAACATTGCTTTTCAAAAAGAATGATTCCATTAATTCGGCAAATTTGATTTCAAAATCGACAAAATATTGAAAAAATCGTCCCAGAAAACAAAAAAAAAGCACAAAATGTTTTATTTAACTTGAAAGGTAGGATTCCTTTATTATATTACTGTGTCAAAGATATTCACGGACAATTTAAAACTTATTTAAAATTCCGAAACATTCGCTTCAAACAAATATAAAAAACTATCCCGAATGTTGGGAAAAGCCGTGATATTCTTTTTAAAACAATTTCGTTTTGTATCCAATAAATATCTCAATTTGTACGATATTATTTCTTTTGATATGTCGCATGTTCATTGTGCTGTATGGTGTCTTGACGCTGTATTGTACTATTGTGTTTTTGGAACTTGTAAAGTGAAAAGTGTATTAAAACTTTTATATTTCGAACGATATAGTTTTACATTTCATTTTACCAAATTTCTAAGCCATTTCCTGAACAAATTAATACTAAAGAGAAAATATTTTTTAATTTTAAGTCTGGTGAAAAAGTCATTCCATCATTGTGTTTATATTCTAAGCACAAATCGAGAAAAATAACTCTGTAATAAAGCAATAAAGTCATACATGCGGGAAGCCATTTTGAAAGCGTGCGTGTACAAGAAACACAGCAACACTAAAACAGTAACGGTAAACCGGTCGAAAACAGTTTTATTTCTGAATTTTAATTAAATTAAACTAATAGTTGGATAACTTGGATATTTTGTTTTATTCATTAAAAATGTATACTAAAACATTTATTCGCCTCAGGCTCAGTGATTACGGTGAATATTCACCTCGACTTTGTCTCGGTGAATATTCACCTGTAATCACTTCGCCTTCGGCGAATAATTGTTAATTATCGAACAAGATCGGCGGCAAATGGACACTTGGCCATTCCCAAGCCACGTATATACGAACAGTAAAACAAGATCGTTTGAACATTGGGCGCCCGTCTTATGGAATAGTTTGTCATTAGAGAAAAGCTTTAGTTTTGCAGAGTTAAATTCTCAAACGTGTAAGGCAATAATAAGATGAAAGTATCACGAAATTATTTGAATAAACCACATCGCATATATGGGGGCCGAATGTCCTAAAGAGGGCGATATTTCTAGGGTATTCGCCCCACCCCCCTGGGCGGCGATATTCCTAGGATATTCGCCCCCGGGGGCCATATTCCTAGGAATATCGCCACGTTTTGAGGAGGCGGGGGCGAATTTCCTCGGGGGGGACGACCTTTTTAAAACTTCTATCTTGCCCCCCCCCAAATTTGAGTTTGCCCCTCAAATGCCCCCCCGTCCCCCCCAAATTTGGAAGCCTGGCGCCGCCACTGCTGCTAACAAGTCCCCAGTCCAAAATCGACATAAACCCCAGTGCAATAAATAGAGGAAACACGCTAAAGCTGTATAAATGTATACATTTCATAGACTGAGAAAAAAGCTTGTATGGGAGGAATTTTATCATTCGTTTTAAATCATTTTTGACAGGCATTCAACATCCGTGGGCCATTCTTACATTCAGGAGGACTAATCTCCAAAATGTTTCACACCGAGTCTTTTTAATACTGCATGCAGGGGCCGGTTCTTTGAAGCCCAAATATATAGTGTTCTAGCGAGGGTTAAATTTAACCCATCACTTTGGTTCGTGTTTATCTGCATCTGTTTATTTCAAAACGTTAGAAAATTAAACGTCTGATGATGCAAACATGATTTCTGAAACAATATTACCAAGTTTATAAACAAGTGCTGGAAAGTATGTTTTGAATTGCACGTTAACCCGGGATTAAGCTAACCGCAGCTTTTAATTTGAACAACCAGTCCCATGCATGTCTGTATAAATTAATAAATGACCGTGAAGGATTTTGTGTATCTGATATAAAATCATGCTGATTTACATAAAATTTAATTTCAAATTTCTCACCAAATATAATTCATTTATTTTAAATTATTGAAGAACATACAATTATTCCCTTCAAGATCGACCTTTCTCTCGTTCGTGTTGTATCCGAAATAAAAACTCTCGTCTTCCGATCGAGTTTGCATGCCCGATGCAACAAGGCCGCTCATGTTGTAATAGCCTAGTTAATGTAAAATATATATCGATTACAGACATTTCCATGCATCGGCAAAAAATCTAGTATGTAGGCCTATACGCATAAATGACATGTATAATTACGCTTTCGGACCCGTAAAACCAAGACGGACCTTTGAACCTTTCTGAAGACATCTAATTTTATCAAAATTCAACCAAAATTTAATCCATTTTTCCTTCACTTAATTACGCCATAATTACGGCTATTAATACCTTCGCAACTTTTTTATTTAACTCTTGGATTAATGTGTTGGTAACAATATATTTACTATATTTAATTTCCCAAATTCAAGGTCTATAGATGCTACTAAGATATAAAAAAATTTGGCTTTGTGTTCTATCCAGCAGAATTCAAACAGTGCAATGTGATTTAAAGTCGTTTCCATAATATGAAACATCTTCAGCTGGCATTTACTAAAATTCCAACTAAAAATGACATGGACCTTCGTAAAGAGACGAAAGTGTAACAAGGTAAAAAACCCCAGAACCAACGTCTTTGTAAATTGATTATATAGGCAGTAGCGTAGCCAGCCCGACTATTTGGTCCCGCTATGCAAATATTTTCATGTTCATTGATTGTGAAAACAATCAATTTCTAAAGAAGTGAATAATGATAATAATATTGAATTTGCATAGCGGGACTAAATTGTCGGGCTGGCTACGCCACTGTATATAGGCCTATAGCGTTGGCGATGGATGCAGAAAGGATTATTTCAACCTGATAACTAACCTTATTCGCATGACGCATCTTTGTGTATGACCAGACGGGAAATGTGGAATGGCCCAATCGTAACGCAATGGAACGACACCATCGGCATTTCCTAAATGGTTTGATCTTGTATATGGAGCTTTGGTGCATTCGGGTGCATCAAGTGCAACCAAACAACATTTTAGTGATTCCACATTATCACCAGTCATTTTTAAATTATCAATATCTTCAGAGCGGTAAGGAATGGCCCAAATAAGTCGACGTTGGCTAGAACTTGCAGCTTTACATGCTTGTTCTGTTTGATACTTGGGGTATTTTTCTAAATAGTTGCTGAATGAAACCCAATAGCCATGATTATTTTCACAGTCTTTTTTATTGCTAAAAACCGAGTCATGACGGAAACCGTCTGACTTTGTATTGTAGTATTGAAGACATTCCTCTGCAAACAAAGAAATAAGACATTCTTAAAAAACGCAATTTGTCTAGAAAAAGCTGAAACGTCGCTTAAAAAATCAGACCTCCATGCAAACTCAAATATTATCTCACTTCTACTAAGATTTTATGGACGCATGACGTACGTTTTGTTTTATATGAATTGCATACTTAGAAAACAAGTCTAACAATTTGGAAACTGTGTTGGCAAAGACGTTTCTTTTAATGAAACAAAAAAAGTTTCTCACAAAAATACTTTACGAGCATTCTTTATGAAGCAGAAGAAAAATTAAATTTAGACAACTGCATATAGCAGGAATCAAAGTCTAGTCACAGAGTTGAAGTGAGAATGTAATACACTATCAACTGTAGCCCCTGTGAATTTATTTAGACTTACTTTAAGTCTCAAGATTAATTAAAATGCTTTTAATATGAAGAAACACAGCTGCCTCATTATTATAAATATCAATGTCCATCACAATATACGTCAAAGAGCCATCACAAAATGAAATAGTTTAAGTCAGAATCAGTTGCAACCTAATATTTTGTCCTTTACTCTAGGTATCTTAATAGCTAATGAAGTAGCATATAGAATTACAATTTAATCTGTTGAATAACAAGATGTTGAATTACAAGTATAATCCAAGGATAATTAATGAAGGGTTGGGGGGTGGCAAGGATAAGAATAAAAGAAGAGGCAATTAACTGCCTTGTCTGCTGAGGAAAGGCTTGAATTTGGAAATGAGACAGCTTTCACGGATCGTATACATGCAAGTTTAAGTGTGAGAGGAAGGAAAGGTGAAACTGAAACCGATGGCTAGTGCTATCCAACTCGCCTATTTGATCAATGTGTACGAACTTTCTTGCATAGATATGGTTTGTCAAATCAAAGCTTTCGTTTATTCGGTCCCGATCAAAATTATATGTTTCTGTCACTCGAACATGCACATTGTCTTCAAATTCGCACATTAATTTCTCGTGTTCCTCTTTAGCTTTTTCCGACATCAAATTTGTCTTTCGTTCAGTTCTAGGTCCGTCTCACTTTCTTTACCTTCAAATAAGGATAAAATTCCCAAGGGCCTAAAATAAATCTTGTGTAGCCTATCATAAGACCCACGGCTTTTGGAAAATTTGCTATTTGTTTTAAATTAAATATTGTTTATATCATCATTTAAAGTGTCGATCTTGTTCCATGCACATCTTGCGAGTTGTAAACACCTGGGCATACTGCTCTGACAGCTACCGGAAGTATAGCAAGTCTAAATTGACCAGCATTCCTCAAAACTTTGCGACCATACTCGTTTCCCTTAATAACTTAAAATTCTTTCATTCTGCTCTTTCTCTGACAAACTTGTATGATCTCCAAAACTTTCCATGAACAGATAAGGTCAGTTCCGTCTTGCTCTACGCTTAGTCCACTTCCACCATGTGTAGCCCCTCCGCCCCACTTCCACTTGCACCCTGTGTAATCCTGATTACACAATTAAACTTTTAATTAATTCTATTCCTTGTAATTAGTTACAACTTATTCATATAACTTTGTAATTTTATAGCATATATACTTCGTTAATTAACATTTAATGCATGCATCTTTATGTAACAAATGAAACGATAGTTTATAAATATTTTTTCTAAAATTTTATATGGTGACGGCTCTTTTGCATACATTATGTAGGGCATTGATATTAAAAATTCCGCCTGGTTCATCTCTCGTCAAAGCTATATCGATTCAGTCAGTTGGTTGCCAGTAAAAGAAAGTAATCGTGCCCATGAGGACTTACCTTTAGGTTTGACATTGAAACTCTCTTTCTGATAATATTGACACATGCTTTCATTATAAGCTAACACCGCTATATCAATCCAATCTGTAGGATGCCAGTAAGGATGGTAATCTCGTTCCTCTGGACATTCATAGCCACTACGAGCACCATTTGCATTTTGACGAGTGTATATATTTGTCTTACCGTTCAGTTTTTGATCAGCTGTGAATAGTCCTGTAAATTTAGAGAAAGAAAATTCTAAACAAAACTGTGATATAGGACTGTTTGTTTGGCTTGCCAAGGTTGTACAAGTTCAGCAATAATTCCCGAGAAACACAAACGGCTTAAACCTGTATACCTACCTACCACTGTTGTTGAGTGATTAAACTCAAGCTCAATGACATGCAAGTTCAGGCAATTTCGATTACCCGGATTACTGTAAGCTTTTCCATCAGAACTTTTGATTAAAATGAAAGGTTAATAAAAAACTACAAAAAGTAAGTTGGATTTTGGTCAAGTGAAAATCTTCAAAAAATGTTTACCATTCATAACATCTGTAATAACTTATTTAGTCACACGTACCTCCACTTGCTTGCTCGTCGTAATTCTTAAGATAAGGATCAAACATTCCTCCAGTTGTTTGCTCGTCATAATTCTTAAGATAAGGATCAAACATTCCTCCAGTTGTTTGCTCGTCATAATTCTTAAGATTAGGGCTATCATCTGATCCTTTGAAAGAAAGAGATTTAGAAAGCGTATTAATTTTAAGATCAGTTTGTGACTAGGTTCTTTGGGTAAAATTAATGGCGTTAAAACGGGTACGATTTTAAAGAAATTTTTAATTTAATTTCTGAGATCTCACTAATACTCTTTTTCAACACCGAAAACTAAACCAAAAAGGCCAAATTTCTTAATAATTTTGCATCTCGCAAAAACCTAATTCATTAATAATTGTTTAATAAAACTTGCTGTTTGTGTTAAATAGATACTGTTTGCTAATCATCACAGGCTCATTTGCAGATAACTTCGTTATCCGCTAGCAGATAACTGAATTTTCTGTAAGTTGCGTGATTGCGCGATTTTACCAACTTCAATATATAATAATAATTGTTTATTAGGTTGTGATAACACCGAAAATTAATCTAGAGATGATCGCCAATTGTTGATTTGTTGTCAGTTTTTACAGTTTTAACCTAGGACGTTTAACTTCTATTTTAACTTCTATTGGCAGTGTCACCGATTTTGACACTCGCAAATCATTATGAATCTTGCACAAAACCGAAAAAGAATGTTTGTTAGCACAACATAAAACAATAATAAATACGAATAGCATGTACAGAAGTCCGGATGGTTAAGATTAGGCGAGGATTCAGATGGATTGTAAAAAATGACATCTTGATTAATTGTTGGCGGACACTTTTTCAAGTTTAAGTAAATTTGTATGAAAACGTTATCTTACATGCTGTCTGGAAGTTCAAAGTTGTTTAATATGGCTCGTATATCATAACTGAACGTATTTATAATGTTGATTTTCAAATTCGCAAGTCGGACTTCGAATAAAAGACATTTTTGGTAAAAATTGGTGACACTGCCCCTTTAAGACTGTGTTGAAATAGTAGGTCAAACAAGATGTCGATCATAGCCACAAGTTTATCAAACTCTTTCTTTCCTTCGACCGAGAGACTTTCTTTATTTACTATACTTTAATTAAAAGTTAAATATGCAGAATAGCATTAGATAGGTTTTGTTATAAATTTTATCATTATTGCTAATATTATAACTTATAACGATTTTCACGTCAATCAAATTGACGTGCCTGCCTTTACTTTCGATCGTGGCTACTCGTTATATAATGACTAGTGCTGTATGTTGTCCAGAGAAAACCGGACAATCTATAAATATGTCTATTTTTTCAATTCACTTAATGTTAGTCCAGAATGACGTTGAATGTTTTTTTCGATTACTTTAACCATGTCGAAATTATTGCAGTTTTATCCTGAACGTCGTTCCTCTGGTTCTACATTCAAACGTGGAAGTAAAACGATTTGTCTTATCGTGTCTTATCTCGCTTACCTCTCTTACGCCGAGTGATTATACAGTTTCCCCATTTCCTATCTTTATCGTAGTTGCTCGTTGTTGCGCACCATAATGTATTTCCATTGTCCACTTTTGTGCAAGATCGATACAATCTGTTTTTATATTTGAACGGAAAGACACAACAAGTTCTTGATGTAGTTTTCACTGCGCAGTTGGCGGTGTCTGGAAAGGAAAAGTCATCATATCTAGCATATTATAATCCGGATTGCTTATTAGGATAGGCGAGATTATTTCGTGTTTGGTGAGTGATCAGTTTATAATTTTCGTTTGTTTTAAAACATCAACGGTCACTGACAAGCTTCCTCGGAGACATATCTATATTCTCTACTGGAAATACATGCATTCAGCAACCCACAACTATATTTGCCAAACATTGATTTAACATGAAGTATTTAGTAATTGGTCAAAACTGAATGCTTGAACCCAGTGAACTCTATTATAACTAAAACGATGACTGCATGCATGCAAGTAAACTGCGCTATGACTGCGTGAAGCCAAGATAGCGGCCTAAATTGGCCTATAGAGTGCTGTTTTGTAAGTTTTCAACACGCGTGGGCTTCGCGGAAACTGAAAAATTACTAAAGTTTACCGATCGATGTTTTTCAAATTTTTCGCGAAAATGGTCAGTTTTAGAACTAAAAACCCTACCTAAAAGTATGGCGTTCCGTTGCGGACAAAAAAACGCAAATAAAAAATGATTCCAAATTAGCGTATTTTATTCCATCAGTCAAACAATTAGGACAATTTTTATAAAATGCTTCCAAAAATGTTTTAAATCTTCGATCGGAAATTAAAAAAACAAATAAAATTCGAAATAAAAATCTCGTCGATAAAAAATTTAAAAAACATACAAAAATAAAAATTCCATTAATTTAAAACTGGAAATCAAATTGGTTGATACAAAAAAAATCTTGTCTAGTGGAAAGGGAAGTGCTATTACTAAACCAGGAACACTAGCCTGCGTAGCAGGCGTTTAGCTGGTACACAGGAAACGCCTGCCCAAATTGGCTATGACAAATTTGTTTTCGCCCATTAAGGATGATTGACGTTTTGTAATTAGCACCTTCACCCATTATCCAATCATAGTCGAGATTCATATTTAGCATCATGCATGCTTTTTGCTCGGCAACTACGGAGATTTGCAGAGATTTTATGCCC